AGGGAGAAGCAGACTCCCCGCTGAGCAGGGAGCCCAATGTGGGACTCGATCCCGGGACTCCAGGATCATGGCCTGAGCCGAAGGCAGTCGTCCAAACAACTGAGCCACCCAGGCGCCCAGGAGACAGGTATCTTATCTTCTCTTTTCATCAAAGTTTTTCTGTTTAATGGTTCACCAAAGGAGATTTTTAATTTGGGCAGAATCATCTACTACTAAAACAGAGTATGTCTCCTTTTCACTCTAATATTGCTCATGTTTATTTTCAGAATATGTAGACTTTTTCAGACATAGCCAATTCATATTTAAGTAAACCAAACAATTGGAACATACTGCAAAGCACAGTTTTTTTCTCTACATATCCAGCACACATGGTATCAATGAGAAAGAGGGAAAGAAAAAGTGTTCAAGCTGATATTAGCACGTTCATTTATAAAAAAGTGATTTTCAGGGGGATATCATCAAATTGGTATACAGTCAGTTTATTTTTCCAAACATCTATAATAAATAGCAAGACTATATATCCAAAGGCAATATTTCTAATTACTATACTGAGGTGCTAAAAAATTTTGAGCTATGCAAAAGAAGGTAAACCCTATTCAGTAAAATTCTAGTGTCACATTTCATGATATCAGTAATTAACAGTTGTATGTGAGAACTATCTATTAACTAGCACTTCTATTGGGAAATTTTCCATTATTTTGGGCCAACAGAGTCTTAACTGTAGATTAGTGCGAGTAGAGGTATTTAGATACCCTTCTTTGAGTGGTAAATTAGATGCTAAGAAAGAAGCAAAAGGGTCTAGCAATAAAAGATAGAAAGGAAAGGATAATAGGATCAGAGTAACCCACCAATAAGTAGTCAGGGCTGGAATGAAGAGATGGATGCATAGGAGAAAAAGAGAATCTGTTATGGCCAAAGTTGTTGAGTCAAAAGACAGTGGACTGAGTTTCTCTTACTTGGGTTTTGTGGGTGTTCACTAGTGAGGGAGCTGCTGCCACCATCGAGCTGCTCCTGGGTCTGGGCAGGAGAGGAATATCTGGTTCTGGAGGCTTTTCAGGCTTCTCTTCCAACATGTGCCGCAGCCTTTGTAGATAGTACATCAGAGACCACTGAGTGCCTTCCTCAGACCAATGGGGTTGGAGTAGGCAGCGAAGAACAGCAACGTCAAAGTAGGTGGCATAGCGGGACCTTTGGCATGGAGGTATCATGAGAGAGGCTCTGTTTCCAGTGACAGAAAGAAGATGATTTTATTGGCAAACATTCCAAGGGGTGACACAACATGGCTTGTAGCTCTGCTTTTCTCATCTGCTTACTTATTCATCCACTTATCTTTTGTGTCGTTTACTCTACTATTCTCCCAACTGGTTTCACTCATTTCACTTTTGCTAGATACTTCCTGGAAGTAGAGAGGTTAGAAAGAGTTTTAAAGGATAGGTAGGAATCAGCTAGGCAAAGTTGAGGATGGGGCAGGAGGGCACATCAGCAGGAAACCATGCCTACAAAGGTGGAGTTAGAAAACAAAATCATGAGTTTTGGGGAGGTGGGGGAGAGTAAGCAATTGGTATTAGTTGGTGAGTAATTTGGGTGGTGGGCGATGAGGAGAGTCTATAGAAATAGATGAGCTTCAGATTGTGATGTTCCTTTTATACAATGCTATCAGGTTTTTTTTTTACCTTGATAGAAATGGGAGTATTTGTATATATTATTGGCTATTTTAATCTATTATTGGTGATTCTAATATATAAAAGAACCAAAGAAACTGCAAAGTACTAAACAAGCAAAAGTTAGGTTATGAAGAAAATTTTCAAAATTTTGAAATCATTTTGAAAACTCTATAGCTATATATTCATATAAAATAGCAAGACTAATTTAAAAAAATCTCAAGGTTTTGAAATTCTCTTATTCAATTTAAACACATGATATAGTCATTCTTTAGTGTTCAACTTAATTACACTACAAAATAGGTTTATGCAATTACTAAATGTAATATATCATCCTAAGTATCTTAGGGAATGTGAAGATATATGTTTAACTTCTTCATATTGAGTAACATATGGTCCAATGAATGACAGCCAATAAACAACAAATTATAAACTGAGAGCTCCTAGGATCCAAAATGAAACCTTACATCTAAAATCTAAACTTAACTCCCAAACACAGTTTCTTCCTGAGTTAGGTGATGCAAAAGGGGAAATTTTTGTACCCTGCTATCAACTAGCAAATGGCACAACCCACACATGGAGAACTTCAGAAAAAAAAATGCGGCCACTAAGAAGTGAAGAGAAGTTTTCCTGAACTTCCCAGACCCATATTTTTTTTTAACTGAAGGTTATAGATCATTATTGGTTCAAGAAATTAATTCAAAAGTATATGACTACTATTGAAATGTTAACTAGAATAAAAACTATCAGAATGCAACAAATGGAATAAGGATTTGTATGCTTGATGAAACTTATTTCACCTCATGCATTGTCATTAGTCATGACATAAAGTAGATTTCTTACCATGAGTCACAGTAAAAAGTTTAAATACACAAACCCAGACCATGTCTGGGTCTAATCTTGAGTATTTTGATTGACAAGTAGGAAACTACACAGAAGTTAAAACAACCACATAAGGTGTCGCGATACTAATTATTTAAGTGAGTTGGCAGTCATACAAGAAGTTTTCTACAACCAGCGAAGTTCCCATATATGTATGTTATGCTAGAACTTATCCTTTTTCCAGGGACCTAGAATACTCTTTGAATATCAACTGCATGTCAACTTTCAGTCCTTCAGAAAGTCCCACAGATTCTCCTTCCAACCACTTCTCATCAGGTCCACAGACACCAACATCTTGCCTTAGGCTTATTGTAATTACTTCCTACTAGTCTCATTGCTTCTTCTCTGGTTCCTCCTCTCCTCTCCTCAAACCCTTCCAATGGATTGTTAAATCATGCTTAAAATAAAATGCAAGCTTCTCATAGTAGTCCATATGACCTGCATAATCTGGCTGTGCATACCAATCCAACCTCATTACCATGATTGCCATGGCGTACCAAATATTTATTTGCTGCCTCTTAGCTCCAAATGCATCTTTCTTCTTGCTCTGTGAAAATGGGCCAGGGATCTTTAAATATTTTTCCACTGATTTCTGGTATGATGTTTAGCTTGGTCAGTAGATGAAATGGAAAAGGTATTGCAGGAAGAAAGAATTTTGCTTTCTCGCCCTGGTGTACTTGCTCAGCACGTTCCTATAATGCGTGTACAGCTTCTCCAGTACCAGGCTCTTGTAGTGTTTATGGGTTGTCTAGTGCTTAGCTCCTGCAGGGCACGTGGCTTCTGCCACATGGGTATGTTTTCTAGAACCAGACTTCTGCAGCACTCACAGCTTTCCCTTTGCTCAGCTCCCATAGTGCCCAGTACCCAGCAGCACCCGGTGGCCGACAGCCCCCTGGCACTTCCCTTTGGAAGTTTTGTAGCAGAGGGCTCCTACCAAGACACCTCCCCATGAATAGCTTTCCCTAGTACCCGAGAGGGTTGGATTTCTGACAAGTTCCAAAGGGCAGATTTCTAGGAAGTTCTCCTGGTGCAGCACCACGGTGACCTCTCTGCCATCCATTGAGGCATAACTTCACCTTCTCCAACAGAGTCATAATCTCAACCATGGGGAGAGAGGGGTCTCCCCTGGGTGTTTTGTCTGACCCCTAAAGTTGGAGATTGCTCCATTATATCTGCTATGCTTATATTCTTTAGAGTTCTCTTTACTTCTTATTAGCCAAGCCCTTACTACTCCAATACTCTAATCTTGTTATACTTAATTGCCTATATTAAACTTGCCCTGTTCAAATTACTATTTGGTTTCTCTCTCTTGATTGGACCAGTCCTGACACATCTGGTTGTTGTGCTTCAACCACATTGGCTTTCTTACTACTCTTGACTATGTCAAGCTTATGCTGGCTTCAGAGCTTTATTTCTATGTGGAAATTTCCACCCTTGAGGCCTAGGCTTTATCTAGGCTCTGTTCCAATGTCATCTCCTCAGAGAGGTCTTCCTCAAACACTGTGTAGAGTGGCCTTCCTCCACCACTACCCATCTTTTCACCCTGTTCTAATTTTCTCCATAGCATGTAGCATAACTTGAGATTATATCATTTACTTGATTAGTGCCTATCTCTATTTATTTGAATGAATTAAAAAATTTCAGAAGTGGATTCAAGACAAAGGTGGAGAAATCAAAGTCTTTTGTACATACAAGCAATACGCATTTTGACAACGGAAAGAAAAAAGAGCTCATTAGAAGTAACAGCAAATAGGTAAATGCCATGGGTTGGGGAGCAAAATGACGAGTAATAAAATTGACAATATAACTTAGTATGTTCAAATGTAAATAACACTTGACCCAACAAGCTGAAGATAAACATCTATTCCAAAAAGTAGGGGAAAGAAATGTCAATTTAACCTCAACTGGTATCAGCGATAGGTAGGAAATACCTAACTTTCAACATAGATTGGATCACTGTTCTATATGACTTGAAAGAATGACCACTATCAGGGTAAACTAGGAAAGACCACACAGGCACAGGTTAGTCTTAAACATCACCCTCCTATTACAATAGAATGATAATACAGGAAATTGGGGATACTTGGGGACCACCACAAACAATACTATGAAATATTTAAAAAAATCTTAATAAACAGACAAACTAACTTTTGTGTTTTTTTTGCAAAGGGAGTTGGGGGACAGGGAGAGGTAGACTCCCCACTGAGCATGGAGTCCAATGCAGGGCTCAATCTCACAACCCTGACATCATGACCTGAGCCAAATTCAGGAGTTGGATGCTTAACTGACTGAGCCACCTGGGTGCCCCAAACTGTTATTAGAATAAATTCTTGATATTTTAAAGATTTCCATCACTTCCTCCCCCAGTAATCTATAAGTTTATATGTAATTCTCTTTTGTGTTCTGAACCCAATTTCAACAGGTATGTGTTGGGGGGGGTGGGGCTTCCACACCATAAAAAATTTTTCTAGACACGAACTGGGTCCATTCTCTGTCAATTGAATTCTGATACCTATCTACCCAGAGATAGCAACAGATTAAGGGTTCGGTCCTGCAAGACTACTCTCCCTCTTACTTCAGACACCAGGTTGTCACCTGTGCTTCTCATCAACTGGCCATAGACTAGAGGTTCCCAAGACCCGCTCCCCGCCCCCACCCCACCCCTGAACTTCAGATTCTAGTTGCAATTCCAGGTTGTTACCTGTACTTTGTACTGACAGGTTCTAAATCAGAAGTTCCCATGATCCCCTCCTTGAATTCAATTAATTTTCTAGAGTGGCTCACAGAACTCAGGAAACCTGTTTATTCACTAGATTACTGATTTATTATAAAAGGATACAACTCAGGCACAGCCAGACAGAGGAAATGCTTAGGGCAAGGTATGGGAAAGGGGCATGGACTTCCATGTCCTCTCCCAGCACCTCCCCGTGTTTACCAACCCAGAAGCTCTCTGAACCCCACCCTTTCTGGCATCTTTTGAAGGCTTCATTACATAGGCATAATTGACTAAATCATTAGCCATTGGCGATTGATTCAAACTCCAGCCCTTCCTGGAGATCAGGTGTAGGACTTAAAAGTTTTAACCCTCTAATCACATGGTTGGTTCTCCTGGCAATCAGCTTCTAGTCTTAAGTGCAGTCCACATGTCACATCATTAACAACAAAAGTCACCTTTGTTGCTTTCATCATTCAGGAAATAGGAGCTTACTGACAGAAACAGGGAGTAAGGCCAAATATATATTTCTTATTATAAATCATAGCATCACAAATTCTGAACAAAATTCCAAAGGGATTTATCTTTTATAAATCAATGAGTCTGTTCTGAAATTTAATGGATGAATGAATAAAACTTTGAGTGTAATCAAGAAAGATATAAAAGGAGGTGTAAAAGGGTGTAAATTTTCCAATGCTAATGTGTGTTTTACAACAATATTTGGCCAACTAGTGCTGATTTAGTAATAGACAAGAATTCAGTGGTATACAATATGGAGCTACAAAAGATTCAAATATTTATAAGAACCTAATATATCAAAAAAGTCATGCATTAAATTAGTACAAAGGATATATTAGTCAATAAATAATATTGGCATAATTCACATACTCAGAAAAATATAATTTAGCCTATCAAATTATCACATTTTATTCACCAAATAAAATCAAGACAGATTAAGATTT